ACATTCCATTCCAGTCATAGGGACATCTGACACCCATGGAACCCCTCACAATGCTTCATGCTCCAAACCAAACTACTGAGAATTTCACATATGTATGGTTTCCATTTGTATAGTAAGGAGTGCAACCTCCCTACCCAAAGGGCTGCACCCTATTTACATAATCCAAGAGATGATTAGGTGCAGTTTGGCAAGAGTCAATGTCGAGGCCTGGGGACTCCAAAATGTTCACTGCTAAACTGCATAGTCTATTATTGCAGGCCATTGGTTAAATTCCAGTTGCTTGTCCAGGTAAGACAACCCTTCCCACTTGGGTTACCCATAACTGAGTGCAACAAATTCTAGCCCCCAGTGACTGGTCCACTCTTCCAAATTGTGCTAATGAGCTAGGCTGGTCTGTCTGTCTTCAACAGTGCTCTGGAGTATTGCAGACATGTCTGCCACAGGTTATGGACTACTGATCTGATCGATTCTGATCTTCTGCTGCCAGACATGCCACCTAGGAGTCAATTCAATCCCCCCAAAACCCCAAAAGTCCTCTCTTACTTCCCTCCCAAGGAAGGTAGTGACACGTTGATCATTAGACATCTGTCTAACCGCAAGCTTGATATGAGATGGAAAAGTTACTTGTTGCAGCAATGAGACCTGTTCTCAAAGTAAGTGACATTGCACTTTAAAAATAGTGGTTATTTCCTTATTTATTTATAAAGAAATTTAGAAAATGGTGTCAATATTGTGTAGAACAAAATGGAAAAGCATTTCATTCCACATCACCAATTCCTCTCAAATTAATCTCCACGACAATTCACTCTTCAAAGAGTGGAATAGAGAAATCAAATTCCTTTCAATGTGGCATCGGGGATAATTATCACACTTCAGACTGGATTTTGTCCCTTCCTCCCTCCTTTTCAAGATGAGATCAAGCCTTGTTGTCACATTGTGGCTCTTCTGCTTTACCATAGACTGTAATGCTCAGGGGGATTTTATTGGGGAGAAGGAGTGTCCATGTCCTTTTTACTATCAGCAGGTATAACTGCATACTGATAGCCAGAATCTCCATGTGGTGGAAGTTATTGCAGCAGGTTTATCGAGCGCTAACCCACAAAGGATTAGCAACAATTTAAACAGCAGTTCCTCTTTCTTCGATTTCCCTCCACTCCCTCAAAGACAGGCAGCGACTTTTGTTGGTTCCTTGCCTGCACCCACACATTTGCAACCCATCCCCCATAGAGTGCTTTACAAACACATTCCGTGATATGCCGCCCAACCTCCATAGGCCATCTCATCATTCAACATGGAGTAAAGCTTCAAATAGCAGCTGGGTAACTTCAGCTCAGCTCCCCCCCAGTCTCGCTCCCAAGTTTGCTAGTGTCTGCTGGGCCTTAAACTGGCTCTTGCTCAGGTTTGGATTGCCCCCTCCCTCTGCTCTGGAGCTACTATTAGTGGGAGTACTTGAAAAAAATATCCTGGTTAAGCCCATAGTCGCAATCCTTCAAGTACTTGAAACACTCTGGGATGCTACCCCGTATGAAGGGCGCTATACAAATGCAAGGTGTTGTTGTTGTCGTAGTGTCTGACTGTTTTCTCTGAGCACCCATACTTCCTGGATGGGTCATTGAGTTAGTAATCAGAAGGGGAGCCTGGGGTTAACCCAGTGACATTAAGGTGGGTAGTGAATTGCTACAACAACTATATTACATTTATGTAAGCAGGAATCAAACTGGAGACCCCCAAATTTCTCATGGTCTTGTCTTAAGACCGTTATTTTAAAACATAAGAAGAACAGTGGAGGCTAGGCAGGCTGCAAAATTGAAAGTGAAGTTAAGAATATTCAAAAAATTATACACAGTGTTAAATTTTAAAGATCAGGTCCTTGAGGCTATGACTATGAAACATTTCAGGCTTTTGGTCTCTTCCTGGTTTGTCAGCATCAGTTCATTTATCCACTGAGCAGTAAGAGGCTAAGCATTATGTATATTATAGTGAGCAACGATAGATCTGATGTGGCTGCAGGTGTGCTGACAAACCCTGGCTGATGAGGGTGTAGATTATTACTGAGTTACTTTATATTTCCTGTGTGGGAGGTGCAGTTGCATTGTTGTAAAAATGGTGACAACAGACAAGCAAAACACTATAACCCTTCCGCAAACACCGCCTACATTCACATTGTCAATACACCAGAATAAAATTCTGTGAAGCGTTTTGAGACATCTCAACAACATGATAAGGCACTACATTGCATGTAAGGATTATTATTATAATTATTATTAAGTCTGTGGAGACTCCAGCCTCCAAGTGCTAACCGCTTCTGTTCATTTGATGTAGTACCTTATCACGTCGGCAGGATGCCTCAAAATGTTTCACAGGTTTTAATGTAATGTGTATTGTGTAGGCAAACATGGCTCCACGTTCTGTGTCCTACAAATAGTCATGAAGTGAATGGCCAATTTTATCTGGGAAACTGTTGGCCAGGACACTAGGAGAAACTGCCTTCGCTTCTTGAATGGTGTGATAAGTTCTTTAATGAACAAGCAGATGAGACCTCGATTGAATGTCTCATCGAAGGACGGCACCTCCAACAATGCAGCACTTTCCCAGCACTGCATGGTCGTGTCAGCCTAGACTATGAGCTCAAAGTCATGACGTGGAGCTTGAGACTACAACCTCTGACTCAGAGGTGAGAGTGCTGACAATGAACCAGATTGACACCTATTTCAGAGGAAACTAGATAGCCAAAGCATAGCTTGAATAGAAGCTCACAGATGAGAGCTTGTTTAGAAGTAATAATAATAATAATAATCCTTGCATTTGATATAGCGCTTTTCACGTCGGGAGGACGTCCCAAAGCGCTTCACAGAACACACTGTAAAGTGAATTGACTGTATATTTGTGGGCGAACGCGGCAGCCAATTGTGCACAGCAATGTCCCATAAACAGTCGTAGATTGAAAATGACCAATTTATTATTGGTTTTGGTTTTGGAGGGATTATTATTAGGCTCTGTGTGGAGTAAGGAAACTTGCCCAAGGTTTCACCCTCTGCCTGGAATTGAACTCAGGTCTCTCGCTTGCAAAGCGAGTGCTCTAACCACTGAGCTACAGGACTCCATAAGTATGTGGTACAAGACCCTGTGAAAGGGCTTTGGAAATGCCTATGGCAATGAAAAGTCAATAATAATTATAAAAAGTAATTCTTGCATTTGATATAGCATCTGTAACTTTGAAATGACTCAAAGTACTTCACAGTGAAATCTTGTCAATTGTAGTGACTTTATTATTCCATGAACTGAATGACTAATTCATCTGGAGGATTGTTGTCAAGGCCACTGCAAAAAAAAATCGCTTCCACTTTCAAGCAATGTCGTGGGATCTTTAAAAGTCCACCTGAACGAGCAAGCAAATAAGTTCCCAAAGTGTTCAAGTTTAGAGTTCTTCAGGTGTGCAATGCTGGAAAGGCTATCCCCAGTGGAGCAGCCATGCCAGAAAGCCTACTGCTTATTTATTGGGGATTAGACCAGATGTTTTTAGGTGATTGAGAGTTAAAGCTGACTTCGATAACTTTAAAACCTGAAAGTGATTAATCAGTCATCTTACTGAGAGGTTCAGATTATATCCCATTCCTGAAACTTCATTACTGTATTGGACTCAACCCAAGGCACCTGCTGTTTGCAAATAATACTGTACATACTGCTTTTCTAGGGTAGTTTGAATCATACTTTGGTTTAATCATATTCCATGCAGCAGATGTCAGTGAAGATACTTTGAAGAGCTTTAAAGTGAAGAGCTTTCTAATTGCTGACTGACAAAAACAATCACTCAAATTAATGATTGTGAAGTCAGTTCCATGTTTGACAATAATAACCAGCTGATTACTAGGAAAACCAACCCGTCTGTCTGCTCAAGTGGATGTTAAAGGTCCCATGGCACTATACGGAAAGAGAAGGGAGTTTCTCCTGGTGTCCTGGGAAACAATCCCTCAATAAAATCGGTAATGCACTTCATGGCTGTTTGTGGAACATTGCTGTGAACAAAACAGATTGCCACGTTTACCAACAAAACATGGAGTCACTACACTTTACAAGTTATCCTGTGAAATGCTTTGAGATGCCCTCCTGATGTGAAAGGCACTAACTATACAAGATGTAAGTCTTATTGCTATTATTATTATTATAATTCAATGGTTGGCATGTATTATGTTACATTCACTGCATTTTGGGGGTTAGCCAAAATTGTCAAATTGTTTCCCCTTCTCAAAGTCTCCCTTTTCCTTTCTAACTGGGGTACAATTCCTCAAATGCTGTTCCTCAGATATCCTATGGTACCTTGTCCAGGTAGGTATTATTCATGTGTGAGCTAAGATAGTGAGATGTGGTAGGAAAATCAACCAACAGGCACCACAGATGAGCCTGATATCTGTCCTGAACAGAGAAGGATGAGAAGAGACCTAATAGAGATATTTTTTAAATGAGGAGGGATTTTGGAAAGGAAATGCAGAGAAATTCTTTCCACTTGTCAGTGAGGAAGTAACTAAAGGGCACAGATTTAAAGTAATTACCAAAAGAGCATAGTGAGACATTAGGAATGCCACATCTCGAATGGCGGTTGAGGTTAAAGGTACATTAGCTTTTAAAAATGCAGTTAAAAACAACTTGCATTTATATAGCGCCTCTCATGCAGGGTAGCGTCCCAGAGAGCTTAATGTAACATAATACAATGGAACTGAATACATAGATAGCTCTTTTAAGCACAGGCACGGTGGGCTGGATAGCCTGGTTCTGTGCTATGGTATTTCTATGGTAGTAAAGGTTCTGTTATCCTACCATCACCTGACATCCACACACACACGTTCCTTCCACCAAAGAGTTTTCTAAGGAAAGCCCTTCACAAGTTTTGGATGTACACCTGACTGAACACAAATTTTTCTTGTGTCCAGGCACACAAAGGGCTGCAGCGTCACTAAAAAAACAAGCACACCATCAAGGAAAGAATTAAAGTTCTGACTTACTCGAAGCATTGGCCCGTTTTGAAAGACGTGAGGCTCATCACATACCACGCAGTACTCATTCAGCACTGGGATCCGCTGCTCTGCATGCTCAATAGTCTGCACAGAAGACAATTGTGACATTAATAGTAAATAATACTTGCATTTGATACAACACCTTGTCACGTTATCAAGATATCACAAAGCTCTTCACAAGATTTTACTGTGAAGTGTAGTGACTGTATATTTTAGGTGAATGAGGCAAACTATTTGTGTGCAGGCAGCGTCCCACAAACAACCATAAAGTGAATGATCAATTTTATCTGATGGGTTGTTGATGAGGAGTCCTCAGTGAAACTCCTTTCTCTTTTCAAACAGTGTCATGGTATCTTTAACGATCCCTGTACAGGCAGAAGGTGTCTTGGTTTAACGTCTCATTTGAAGGATGGCACCTCCAACAATGCAGCATATTCCCATCACTGCACTGGAGTGACAGCCTGGGAAATGAGTGGCTTGAGTATGGTTTGAACCCACCAGCTTCTGACTTAGAGGTGAGACCAGGCTGAAATTGTAAATAATAAGACCTTAATAAATGATTAATAATAATAAATAATAATTCTTGCATTTGATAAACTGCCTTATCACGTCTTTTAGACATCTCAAAGCGCTTCACAGAATATACTGTAAAGTGAACTGACTGTGAATTTTGTGGGTGAAATGGGGCAGTTTAGTGATTAAAATAGCTTTAAAATAAAATAGTGATTAAAATAGATGCTTACCTGTACAAGGAAGCCATGTTCTCTCGGTGGTAGTGTTTTTGCGTTATATCCAGGCTGGCAACAAAAAAGACATAGATGAGCAATGAAGATCAACACACACGAATGTATCAGTATGTGTTCTTCTCTCACGTTCAGAGTGCCCTGGGAGTTATCTTATTCAAGGAGTAGTGACAACAAGATTACATTTGTATAGTGCCCTTCACGTTAGGAGGACGTCCCAAGGCACTGGACAGTCAGTGTTTCGGACCCGAGCTGGGGTTGGGATTGGGGAGGGTGGAGGGCAAGGGGGGAAGCAGGTTGATTGAAGGCACGGTCGAAGAGGCGTGTCTTGAGATGGGTCTTGAAGGAGGCAAGAGAGAGGACGAGATGGAGGGCCTGTGGGATGGAGTTCCAGAGGGTGGGGGTAGAGTGGCAGAAGGCCAGCCTGCCAATGGTGGGGTGGGCGAGGTAGGGGAGTCAAGCAGGCCGGAGCTGCTGAGCGGAGGGAGAGGGCAGGATGGTGGGGGGATGAGAGGTCGCAGAGGTAGGGGGAGCAAGTCCATGGAGGGCTTTCACAGTGAGGACCAGGATCTTGAACTGTATCCTCTGTGTGACGGGAAGCCAGTGGAGTCGGGCAAGGATGGGGGTGATAGGGTCAAGGAGTCTGGTGCAGGAGTTGACATAGGCTGCAGAGTTCTGGATGATCTGCAGCCTATGGAAGGAAGAGTTGGGGAGGTCGACAAGCAATGAGTTTGCACAGTCAAGCCTGAATATTATGAATGTGTTATGACACACCAAACTAGAGAGTTTCAGTTACTTCCCATTGCAATAATCTCAAACTTCCTTTGCAGTGTCACCGTTTCAGGTGGAATGACACTTTCACGCTGGTATATATGGTATATATTCAAAATTAGCTTTGATTTGACTTAATAATTGTGATAAACTTACAACATTACCACGTGCAATGAGTAGAATGCAGCAACGTGTTTCAGAACAAGGGCATGTGGACTCAAGCTCAGGAGAGGGAGGGTGAACAGATAGTTCAGATTTAATTACTTTATAGAGAGTGGTGAATAAGTGGAATAGGCTACCCAGGGAGTCGAAGAAAGTAGATTGTGTCAGCAAATTTAATAGAGCTATGTGGCGAAGAATTCAATTGAGGAGGTATGGGAGATAGTGTAGCGTTGGATTATATTTTTTACATGAATTATATATATTGATTTTCTTTTGATTGGGAATGGACTGAAATGGCCCTGTACATTTTGTGTTCCTATACGTTCCTAGGTTCCTAGGATTGAGATGCTCCATGTTTAAGCACGGCATTCTCCCTCCCTGGTTAAAGGCCCGTCCCAAAATATACCAGACTGCGCTTTTGGTCATCTCACCCCTCCCCTCAGCTCCCAACCCCAGCTCGGGTGCCCAGTCAACACTGTCAAGCGATATGAGTGGTACTCCAGATGTGAAAGGCGGAAGATAAGTGTAAATTGTATTGTATTTTATTGTAAAATGCCATGCACTGTTTGCACTGTCCTTTTAAATTTGTATATTTTTCACCCAAATGAATTCCCTTTGCAGCTTTTAAAATTCATGGACGCAGGCTGACTTAAAAGTAGCTCAACCTCCTTGAGAATCTCAGTGAAACTCTGTTATCCTTTTATTTTCCCAAACATCAAGACAGCGTCTGGCAGTAAACTACATTCCAACTGCTCCAGGGAATCAAAGGGGCAACTCGCTTACACTGAGGAGTGAACTCAAAGCCTGACATTGCTTTGAATGGACATGTTCTTATACCCACACAGCTCCTCTCTTATTCTCTTTTACTTCCTTCTGCTCACCCCTTTCCCCAACCCGACCCCTTCCGTTTTACCAGCATGAGGGCAGGAAGTGCCTATTTTTCAAAGTCATAGCTATCGTGCTCTCCCACGGAAAACAACAACTTGATTTATATAGCAGTCATCATGCAGGACAGCGACTTGGAGCGCTGAACATTTTTTAAGCTTCAGAGAATAGCAAAGTCACCTTCATGAATTTCGGAAATATATTAACGTTTCAATTTCATCATTATTTTTCATTTCTAAATTAATTCTTCCCCCCCCACCCCCCACCCCATCTGTTCAGAGCAAACCGGTCTCAGTGAGGGAGACGCAAAGTAAGTTAGGGCTCCCCACCCCGACTCCTGCTGTGTTTATTTAAATGTTAGGTGAGGACAAGTTTGGATAATAATAATAATAATAATCCTTGCATTTGATATAGTGCTTTTCACGTCGGGCGGACGTCCCAAAGCGCTTCACAGATCACACTGTAAGTGAATTGACTGTATATTTGTGGGCGAACGCGGCAGCCAATTGCGCACAGCAATGTCCCACAAACAGTCGTAGATTAAAAATGACCAATTTATTATTGTTTTTTGGTTTTGGAGGATTATTATTAGGCTCTGTGTGAAGTAAGGAAACTTGCCCAAGGTTTCGCCCTCTGCCTGGAATTGAACTCAGGTCTCTCGCTTGCAAAGCGAGTGCTCTAACCACTGAGCTACAGGACTCCATTGGATGTAGCTGTTATGCCACGATGGTCATATGGAAATAATGGTGGGAAAGGCCTGGAAGGCAGTATAATTCACAAACGGAATGATTTAGGAAACTGCTAATTGTAACCCCGTGGTTTATATCACCTACCCAAATAAGAACAATAAAGGCCAAGCATGTTCTCATAGAATCAGTGCGTCGTTAAAGAAAATTTTCCATTTCGGAATCACTGATGGTAAAGTGGAAATAATTAGAGATGGTGGAGCTTAAACTACTCTGTTCTTTGACTGAGGCAAAGGAGAAATTATGCAAAGCTATCTTTAGTTTGGCACAAATATAGCCGCAACTGTCCGAGAGGAATCTTGTGGAGTTCAGTCAAGGGAATAATTCACCCATTTCATCTCTCCTCAGCAAGGAATATTTTTGAGCTTTGTTCCAATATATTTTATCTTTTCCCCTCTGGGTTGTGTGGGACTAATACAGCATGGAAACAGGACATTCAGCCCAACTAGTGTTTATACTCCATACGGACTCCACTCCTCCTATTCCCTTCCACCTCATGTTTGCATAATTTTTTCTCTTATATATAAACATGCTTTTTTGTTACAAGAACAGCTTCTGGCAGTGAATTTCACATTCTCACCACCTTTTGCATGAAGAAGTTCCTCCTAAACTCCCTACTAGCTATCTTATATTACTACCCTGTTGTGTTCTACTCACCATACCTTGATAAGACGTGAAATATGTATCAGCTAATCTTTGGGACAAGTGGCAAAATTATACAGAATTCTGTACAAAGTGCACAAAAACAAGCCATTCAGCCAATGTTTAATCCATGCCAGTGTTTAAGGTTCACATGAGCTTCTATCTCTCCTATTCCCCTCTCCTATTTTCCCTCTATTCCCTTCTACCTCATGTAAATGTCGAGTTTTCTCTTAAATATACTGGAGGCTTTTTGTTTCAATCACTTCTTCTGGCAGTGAGTTACACATTCTCATCACCGTCTACATAAAGTGGTTCCTGCTAATCTCTCTTTTAGATCTGTTATTTGCTATCATATATTAATGCTTTCTAGTTTTGGACTCATCAACAAATGAAAACAGTTTATTTAATGCCCAGCTTATCAAATCCTTTCATAGTTTTAAACATTTCTATTATGTTCACTCCCAGTCATCTCATCTCCAGAGAGAAAAGCTCCAGCCTGTTTAATCTTTCTTGATAGCTGTATCCACCCAACCCTGGTAAGTAATATTCAGGGAAATCTACACTTCAATGCTACAATATCCTACCTGTAGCATGACGACCAGAACTGCACACAGCTCTCCACATTTATTTTTCTACTCTACCAGTGGGATAAAAAAAAGTATCAAAAACACTAAAATGCTCAAGGGTTTCTCTAGAATCCAATGGAAAAAACAATCTTATTGAGAAGGACACTTTAAAAGTTATTTTTTAAAAATGAAACATACCGCGAGCGATGTGGGCAACTGCCACCAGCCCAAGTTTCTCTCCCAGCTGTGAGTTGTCTATTCAGCACCTAGCCAAGAGTCAGCTGTTTTGCCTCACTATATGTATGGCTTTTTTCTACACTGTGTCATGCACATTGTTCACCCTTCTTTAATTTTCTTGTCACACCAATCAAAACGTGAGTTCCATCACAATAACCGGTACAATCAAAGTCTCTTCATAAACAAACGTATTAGTCACAGCAAAAGGTGACTGATTCATATTATGGCAATGCAATTGGAAGGTGATTCATCCCAAGAGGTTCTCTGAGGACACCTACCTCCTCCCTGCAACACTCAAACCATGCTCACTGTTATATTTTTGGCTTTCCAAGTGCAAAGGGACATTATTGGTAATTAAATAAACTGGTTCCACTCTAATTATCGATTCAGCGTGAGGAAGCTCTTAAACATAACGCTGTACGTACAATCAGTATTGTGGGATTTCACTGATCATTCTGAAACATTCAGTTAAACAGTTTTGAACGTACAGTTAGACCCATCACAACATAGTGTTTTGGATCCTTAAAATCAGACCCTGCGTTTCTCGGTCAGCAGGTCACCGTTGACATCACTTCCTGTGACTTGTGCGTGCACCCTGGAAGCCGGCAACCGTTCTTGCTAGCGTTACTTGGAAGCTGGGTTAATGCTCAAACCCAGGAGGCCTTCGGCGCCTGAATGCCACACGCTGGAAAACCACTTGTGCTACAAACGGACCCAGGCTACACCACACTGAATTATGTAGAATAATATGGCACGGAAACAGGCCATTCGACCCAACTAACCTGTGACTTTTTAACGGAGTCTGAGTGTATTGATTGCTATGGGCAAAACTCAGTGTGACTGAATGCAACAATTAAGAGACAAGAAAAAACATGTACATACGGTGGGCTGTGATGAAGTGGAAGGTGCTAATATGCCAATAAGACCTGAGGTAAGTGAGAGTCTTCTGCCCTCAGAAGCAGGCTCTTTGCACGGCTCCGTTTTACCCACTTTGGCATTGCTGGAGAAGGACCTGCTCAGCAGTTTGTGATGCTTCAACCCATCCGATTCCTCTGCCTTCACAGTGCCCGAACAGGACCTGTTCAACAACTTATGTGCCTTGGGGGTGCTGTTGTGCTCACATCTGGGGTCACTAGAACATGTTCTACTCAGTATCTTGTGGGACTTCAAAGGAATATTTTCGTCTAGCCTCACGGTAGCAGAACATGGCCGGCTTAAGAGTTTGTGTGGCTTTGTAGGAACAGCCAGCTCGGCTCTAGGGTCACCCGAGAGTGAGCGACCCATTGGCTTGTGAGGCTTGGACTCGCAACCGTCTTCTACCTTGACGGTGTTGGAACAGGTCCTCTTTAACAGTTTCTGTGACTTGGAAACCCCATCTTGCTCCGGTTTGAACTTTGTCTTGCTTTTGCCACATCCTGGTGGAGGGTAACTTGGCGACCTGAAATTTAACCAACACTAGATTTTAGCTTTACGTTTCAAACCTCCACTGCAAGCATGATAGCAGACAGACATTGGATTATTTACAGCAGACGAAGTCAATTCAAATTCCATCATACCTGTATTACAGTCTAGTACAGCAGGATCTAAATGGCGTCCTAGTATGAAAATAAGGCATGAAAAAAAACACTATGCTCTGGTGAAGCAATCTCTTCATCTTGTACCCCGCTTTAAGTCTTTTACCCCATCACTCCCATCCTTGCCCAACTCCACTGGTTTTCCATCACACAGAGGATACAGTTCAAGATCCTGGTCCCCACCGTCAAAGCCCTCCATGGTCTTGCCCACCCCTACCTCTGCGACCTCCTAACCCTTACCATCCTGCTCGTTCCCTCCGCTCAGCGGACTCTGGCCTGCTCGCTCGCCCCACTATTGGCAGGCGGGCCTTCCAGCACTCTGCCCCCACCCTCTGGAACTCCATCCCGCAGTCCCTCCCCCTTGCCCCCTCCCTTGCCACCTTCAAGACCCATCTCGAGACCCTCCTCTTCGACTGTGCTTTCGATCTTCCTGCTTCCCACCCCCCTACCCTCCACCCTCCACCCTCCACCCTCCCCGACCCTCAGCTCGGGTCCATAACTGTCTGTCCAGAGTCTTGGGACGTCCTCCCGATGTGAAAGGTGCTTTACAAATGTAATTTTGTTGTTGTTGTTTTGGCCCTAAAGTAAGTTTTAATGGAACAATTTAAAAATAAATCAATTTCTTCTATCATCTGAAATTACAATCTCTGTGGCTTAAACACATTTGTTTGTTATTTCAATTTGCAAGAGTGTGACTTGACAGTAAATCTCACGCATCCTTCACATGTAATGTTGAACCAAGGTCCCATCTGCCTGTTCAGGTTGATATTAAAGATCCCATGACACTAATGGAAAAGAGCGGGTCTTTCTCTCGGGTGTCCTGGCCAACAATCCCCCAGATAGAGACATCTCCTGACTTGAAAAGCACCATATAAATAGAAATTGTCATTTAGTTCATGGCTGTTTGTGGGACATTAGTATTTCTATGTTCATCTATAATTCACAGTAAAATCCTGTGAAGTGCTTTGAGATAATAATAATAATAATAATCTTTGCATTTGATATAGCGCCTTATCATGTCTTTGAAACATCTCAAAATGCTTCACAGAATATACTAGAAAGTGAATTCACTATATTTTGTGGACGAAACACAGCAGCCAATTGTGTACAGCAGTGTCCCACAAACAGTCATAGATTAAATGACCAAATTATTATTATTTTATTATCTATCTATCTATCTATCTATCTATCTATCTATCTATCTATCTATCTATCTATCTATCTATCTATCTATCTATCTATCTATCTATCTATCTATCTATCTATCTATCTATCTATCTATCTATCTATCTATCTATCTATCTATCTATCTATCTATCTATCTATCTATCTATCTATCTATCTATCTATCTAAAGTGCTCTATTAAATGCAATGATTATTATTAAACATATTGCCAGTTTCAATGTGAGTTTATAATGGGATTTTCGAACTCAAAGTGTCACTGTTCAGTCAACAAGACTTGACATTTTTCATTGGTTTAAAATGTAAGATTATGCAGAAGTTTGGAAAAATTTTAAATTGAATTTTAACCTTGAAGTTGGGTCTCAACCTTGACTGTCCAACACTTTGGGATGGCCTCCCTACATGAAAGGCACTATACAAATGTAATTTATTGTTGTCAACAGTTCTTCAAAGCACTGTGAAAATTCAGCATCACAACTCAGACTGAAATTTTAAAAAATCAGAACATATGCAATCTTATATTTGAAGACAATGGTCTGAAGGGTAAGAACATGAGAAGTTCGGGGTCTCAGAGGAGAATAAATTTACTTAGTTTAACAAGAAACCAGAGCATCAACTGACTGGAGCTTCACTTTGATCTCAAACAGAGTCTCAAATTCTCTGATGTCTGTTCTTTCATCGACATCTCACTAACGTAATCACAAAGCTAAAAATTACATTACTTTACCTGCATTAGGCATGAACATGAAAAGGGCCTTTGAAACAACAATTTATATTTACAGTATATGTCGCCTTTCAAATTGGGGGAATGTCTTCAAGCACTTTATAAAATTTTCTAAAGAAACCTGAGATAGGCGGCTGAAATATTATTACTGTGTCCCCTTTCATTCCTTCCCACCTCCATATGCAAATGGGGTAAGTAATCATAAGTCAGCAAATTACAATAACAATAACAAAATTACATTTGTAAAGCGCCTTTCACGTTGGGAGGACATCCCAATGTGTTTACCAGTATGTAAGTAGCCCCCAGGGCCATCAAAAAGCACTCCCCCCAACCAACCCACCACCAACACCGAAAATTCGCATCAATCTAGGCAAGTCCGTGTTTGATCGATTGTGTGTTTTCATTTTCTTCTTGAGTGAATAGCTCTTGATTTATGGCATCAATCAAGAAATATTCAATAAAGAAAATATATTTTGTTGGCTGTGGTTGGTCACCACTGAATTACTGCAAACTGCTTTGCCAGGGGGGTCCCCTCAGAGCTAGTTCATACCCCTGAGAGTTCATTTTATCCACTTAGAAAAGATATAAAGCTGAGCACACCAAGTGGGTCATGATGCAAGTGTAAGTAAGAGATCTTTGCCGTCGGTTTCTGCTGTGTGACACACTTTAAGGGGTCCATGGAGGGAAGTCATTAACCCACATTAAAAACAGGAAGAAACACCAGTGATCTTAAAATGAGATCCATGTAGCCATTGCTCTCATGTGTTTCTAACAGAACAGCAGTCTTGTAGCTCAGTGATCAGAGAACTCGCCTTGCAAGCGAGAGACCTGGGTTTGATTCCCGGCAGGGTGAAATATTGGGCAAGTTTCCTTACTCCACATGCCTCTGTTTACCTAGCATTAAGCAGGAACCTGGTTGTTAGTCGATTGGTGGATCGCTTTTCCAGGGATAATAATTCCTTATATAAAAAAGGTCACTTCAATCCACAACTGTTTGTGGGACACTGCTGTGCACAATTGCCTTCTGTGTTTTGCCCACAAAATAAACAGTCAATTTACAGAATATTCTATTAAGCACTTTGAGACACCTCAAAGGCATAATAACGCGCTACATCAAATGCAAGGATTATTATTATTATTAATAGTCATTAATTAGTCCTCCCTGATACCAAGCCCCTGTTCCTCCCTGATACAAACCTCCAGCTCAGGCCCAAATCCCTGACTGTCCAACACCTTGGAATGTCCTCCCAAAGTGAAAGGCTCAATATTAATGTAATTTTGTATTGTATTTGCATTGTGCAAAGTTGCCTTGCTGAAGAGCACTTAACACAAATCTAACACATCAACATGGAGATTTTTAATAATGCATTTAAATTTTTTTTATAAAGTTAAAATTTATTTTAATCAATTGACTGTTTGTGAGGCACTGCTGTGCGCAATTGGATGACATGTTTCGCCAACAAAATACACAGTCAGTACACTTTTGCAGCATATATTACCAACAAAGTGATAAGGCACTACATCAAATGCAAAGATTATTATTATTATGGACACTGAAAATGGTCAAGGTATTGATACAAGTGCTCAAATGAACAAACAAACGATTGGGATGGGATACATCCCATGTATCTCAGGACATTACCTGCGCAGTGTTGAAAAAATGTGCAGAGGGGATTTCACCTTCTTCTCACTCAGCTTTTTCCCATGAGAGCAGTTGAGTTTCTCCTTGCTGTTCTGCTTCCACTGCTGTGTAACAAATGTCTGCATAATTCTGCGGGGTTTGGGGGGAGAGAGAGAAGGTGTGAGGAAATATCAAATCTGCCGTGTTAATGAATGGCAGAAGTAACAATCTGGTTACACTTCATTAAGACATCTTCAAGCATCGGATCTTCAAACTAATTGGCTTCACTGGCCGATCCACTCCAGCCATCGCTGGGATCAAAGGAAAGATCCCGACTGTATTTGTAACTTTACGCTATGTTCCTGTGACTGACTCTCTGGCACTCTGCTAGCTTCTCGCTGTGACATATCCCCTGCCCTGACAGAGACTTGAGACATTAAGCAGATCCCTGCCCTATTCTTCAAAGGGTTCATCTCAGTTAAGAAGCTGCTGACGAGTAGATTGTCTCCAGTAAAACATTGCCACCTTGTACAGTTTATTTGCTTTAATCCTGCTACTGTTGAAGGCTTCATTATCTTATTAGTTCAAGGAAATAAACATCTCTGGAATATAGTAGCTTTATTGGGAACACTCAAAATAAACAACATATTTCTTATTCAATCCTCCCTTTAGCTAAACAATGGGGAATAAAGAAATCCACTTAGACCTTACACACCAGTGCTAACTAATTTGGCCAAATGGCCATATCCACTTTGCATTATATCCTGTGAAGCAATCTGAGACGTCTCAATGACGCAATGAGGGGCTATATCAAATGCAAGGATTGTTATTATTCTCTGTAATTTAATTGTAATCTGGAATAATTCTAAGGGATTTTGCTTTCAGAAATGCTTGCTTAAACATCAACCTCCATGGTTGCACACTACAACTCACCAAGCCAGTCAGGAACCTGGGTGTCTTGTTTAATAATAATAATAATAATAATAATCCTTGCATTTGATATAGCGCTTTTCACGTCGGGAGGACGTCCCAAAGCGCTTCACAGAACACACTGTAAAGTGAATTGACTGTATATTTTTGACCCTCAACTGTCTTTTCTTCCCCACATCCAAGCCATGACCCGCTCTGCCTTCCCTCACCTCCGTAAACATCACCCAACTCCGCCACTACCTCACCCCTCAGGCCACTGAAACTCTTGTTCATGCCTTCATCACCTCCAGGCTCAACTATGCAAACGCCCTGCTTGTTGGCCTTCCCAACTAATCCAGAACTCTGCAGCCCGTGTCCTCTCCTGCACCAAACTCCATGACCCCATCTCCCCCACTCTCACCCGACTCCATTGGCTCCCTATGCTCAGAGGATCCAGTTCAAGATCCTGGTCCTCACGTACAAAGCCCTCCATGGCCTCACCCCACCCTACCTCTGCAATCTCCTAACCCCCTACCAACCCGCCCGTTCCCTCTGCTCAGTCGGCTCTGGCCTGCTCCACGTCCCCCGACCCACCCGCCCCACCATTGGCGGGAGAGCATTCAGCTACTCTGTCTCCAACCTCTGCAATTCCATCCCCCAGTCACTCCGCCTCACCCCCTCCTTAGCCTCCTTCAAGTCCCACCTCAAGACCCTCCTCTTCGACCATGCCATCGGCCACCCCCCTTCCCCTCCCCCGCCAACCCCATCTCGGGTCTGAAATGTTGTACTCTGTCCAGCGCCTGGGGACGTCCTCCCGACGTGAAAGGCACTATACAAATGTAATCGTGTTGTTGTTAAAAGAAATCCTGAAGCAAAATGTAGACAGATTTCTAGGTATTAATTCCACATTGTTTAACTAATAGGAAAGACTTAATAAAAAATGTTTCTTTGACATCAGAGGAATGTGTGAAGAAGGAAAAACAAAGGACCTGGAATCTGGAATTAAAGAGGAAGTTAACATGACTTTACGAAACAGAGTTGTGTCATATCAGGAAAATCCTTAGAATTCTTTGAAGTGATGACACAATGTGTAGACAAGGGGAATTCAGCAGTTGTTAATATATGCAGATTTTAGCAAAACTTTTGAAACAATACCCCATAGGGAATTGACGCACAAGACTGAAAGAGATGGAAACAGGTAGGACAGGGAATACAGAACTTCTGAAGTGTAACAGAAATTGGTTTAATTATCAAACGACGTTTGGTTGTGTACAGTGCTGCTTCAGTACAGAAGGAGGCAACTGGTTCAGAAATCAGAGCTCTCTCTGATAGGTAATTTTCCATTATAAACATGGAATGAGAAAGCTTTCTAATGCTAGCGATCAGCACACGATAAACTCCTAAGTGCGACAATGATTTACATAATTTTACATTCCCAGCCAGCAACCCAGATTAACTGGTTGTTTCCCTCATGGTTATTTGCAGGACCTTGTGTGTGCAAACGGCAACCCCATCCCCCAGTCACTCCGCCTCATCCCCTCCTTACAAATACAGTCACTACACTTGAAAATTAACTTCCTGTAACAAATGTTACAATGTTTTGACGAAATGAAGTCCTATAAAAATGCATCGTTTTTCTTTCATTTTCTCTCTTTTCTAAATTTTACAAACTACCTTAATGTTTGCGGAAACACTTACTTTTTCAATTGATGTCCAAGTCCAAAGCGTTCCTTCGTTGATGTCTGGAAAACATCAACTGTTGGTACTGTGAATGTACAGGAGAAAAAGATATAATCAGGAAACCACAAATGTAGCCATCATATTATGTTAACGTCCACAAAATGAAATGCTGTATCTACACAGTGGTACTGGGTGGTTTAATGACCAGTAAAGACTTATCAGACCTCTGCTGAATTGGCAAACATAGAAAATGAAGTTGTTAAACGCACTACATAGATAAATACCGACAGGACATGGGGATTAACACACAAGAGGGAAATGCTTCAGTAAATCCACTCACAGTTTATAAATTAGCTTATTTAATTTTCCTTCTTGGGAAAATGAAGATACAGATCAGACACAGTGTAAGAAAAGTCAGGCCTTCAAGCTTTCTGCCCCACCCTCCAGAATTCCATCACAGAGCCCCTCCGCCTCACCCCCCTCCCTTGCCTCCTTCAAGACTCATCTTCAAGACCATCCTCCTTGACTTTGCCAATGCCCCTCGTATGGGGGTTGAGCAGCTGGTACTGAGTACGGGTACTAAGTAAGCCTGGTATGGGACATTGGACTTGGACCTCGAGAACATCAAGGTGGCTAGCACATCACAAGCTGCACTGTAAAGATCTTCCCACCATGTTAAGGCAGATAATAATGATCCTCACATTTGATATAGCGCTTTTCAGGTCTTCTAGATGTCTCAAAGCGCTTCACAGAATATACTGTAAAGTGAATTGACCATATATTTGTGGGTGAAACACGATGCCCGCCTCCCCCATATGACTGATGAGGAACCTCTGAGGCTTGGAATGACAGCTGCTGGAAGGCACTACCTGAAGTCTGAGTTCATAACACATATACGTACATCCAACGCCTGCAATCCACCTTGATTGGCCTGCAGAAAGGCAAGCAGCTGCTGCTTAAACTCTACACCTCCTATTAGTGGAACCACCACTCAATGGGAAGGGACGGGGTGCCCGAGCTGCGGACAGGAAGATGGTGGCAATGCTCTCACGCATTTCATGCTGAGATGTGTTGCCCACTAGGGAGTTCCTGGTACTTATCATTCACTTATTCACCAAGTGATGGCTCAAACCCGCGCTTGTGGAGTCCTGTAGCTCAGTGGTTGGAGAGCTCGCCTTGCAAGCGAGACACCTGGGTTCAATTCCAGGCAGGGCGAAACCTTGGGCAAGTTTCCTTACTCCACACGCCTAATAATAATCCCTCCGAAACAAAACGATAATAATAAAATTGAGACGTCTAGAAGATGTGAAAAGCGCTATATCAAATGCAAGGGTTATTATTATTATTATTATTATTGTTGGATGTTGAACAACCAATAAGTGATTATCCTCCTTGTGCGGGAGGTAAGTGGAGTCTCCTTGGAGTTGAACTGGTTCCAAGGTGACATGCTTAGCAAGGGAATGTCGGAATCGAGCCAGCCCTCTGTGGCGGTCTCGGTCGTCCAGTTCCTGAGCTAGGCAGGTCCACACTTTTCCGGGGCACTGCTGTTGACAGCACAGCCAGCCTGTCTCATCAACAGGACCTGGAAGAGCTAACCTATCACTGGGAGCAGGCAGTCATCCAACTCAGCTCCTGCAAGCCAAAACCCTAATGGATAGAGTGGTCCTAGCTGGATAAGCAGCGAGAAAGCTTGCCAGACAGTAATAATCAATGGTAAACTATGCAGTCTTAGCTGGTTATAGAGTTCAGCAGTACGGCGATGGGTCAAGCATGGTGATGGTTTTCCACACGTGTCACAGACCCAGCCGACAACCCCCCCACCCCTCCCCCCTCCCATAAATAAATGGTTCCTCGCTCAGGAGTTAAATGTCCTGTTGTACTAAGCTACATAGATCTGCTGGAAGGTCTGAGTTGAACCCATAGCCTGTACTGTGTGAGCTGATCTCAGCAAGCGTTGAGGGCATTATGTTTAAGCCTTGTATTAAGCCGGACATCGCAGCCCTGATCTCTATCCAGTTGTCGCTGCTGGAAGCATTCCTGTTTGCTCAGGAGGTGATCAGATTTGCTATGATGCCACCATGGTCGAATAGGCTGCCAACACTCATTGTTTAAACTCAGAAGTAGAAGATGACTTTGTGAGTGATGTACCAGTGTGTGGTCAGTGCCTGCAGCACTGCACCGGGGATAAAACAATTATTTTGGCAAATATACACCAGAAACCACTGATCCCCAGCACTTCCACATACTCTTCACTTTCCAGTTATGCACTAGTGCAGGAGAACTATCAAATGAAGGGGAAAAACAGAGAGCAGATTTTATTAAAAAAATGATTAAATATCTTTCACCTCCATGTTACTCCATGAAAGTAACACCTTGAAGCCAGTTGAACTCCTATTTTGCACTTTACTTTTTATCCAGTTAAACCATCCACAGTGTAGCTAAGATTTATTAGGGTATTACTAGGGATGAATAGATACAGCCATCAACAAAGATAACAGGTAAGTGCTCTTCTTTATGGAGATGATATGATTGAGTGGGGACCTGATAGGGATGCTTAAAAATTATGAAAGGAATTGAATAAGATGGACTTTGATAAGCTGTTGGTAAGACATAAACAAAGGGCAATAAATATACAACAACATAATTACATTTATATGGGGCTTTTCATGTCGGAAGAAAGTCCCAAGGCACTGGGCATAATAACGACACCAACAACTTGCATTTAAGAGAGTGAGTACCAGATCTAAAAGGGAAGTATAGGATGAACTTCTTTACACAGAGTGGGGCAAGAATGTGGAACTCACCCCTGGAAGCTGTGGTTGAAACAATATATTTCAGAGGACACTTGAGGCATGCATGAGGGAGAAGAGGATTGAGGGTGATTTGGAAGGATGGAGGCTCGCATGGAGTATAAACATTGGCATAGATAAAATAATAATAATAATCCTTGCATTTGATATAGCGCCTTATCACGTCTTTGAGACGTCTCAAAGCGCTTCGCAGAATGTACTGTAAAGTGAATTGACTGTATATTTTGTGGGCAAAATGCGGCAGCCAATTGCACACAGCAGTGTCCCACAAACAGTCGTGGATTGAGTGATCAAATAATTATTTATTTTTTAGTTATTTTTATTTTTGATGGGATAGAAAAACTATCCGCCAATCGACTAACAACCAGGTTCCTGCTTACTTGCTAGGTAAACAGAGACTGAATGGGCACGTTTTCGTGCTGTAAGATTATATGTAATAAAAATAGAAGAGTATGGAACAAAGCTGTGTTTGTGTCTCGATGTAATGTAAATGCATGGGGGTATGGACAGCAGCACTAACCTGGGCCATTCAGATACTGTGTGAGAGAGCAGTGCAATCGCACTATTACGGGTTCTGTCCGAATTACGTCCCATGCAATAGCAATCTCATCCTGTCACAAAGTCAGGCAAGCAGAAAGAAAGCAATTTATTCAGAGATATAAAAGCAACAAAATCCATCAGAAACCTATAATGAATTATTGCACTAAGTACACACTTCATTCGCTCACTAATATATTGGAACAAAACACTTTCATATCTTTTGTGTGCCGAACTTGACTGTGCTTACATTGTCATGCTAACAATCCAGTCATGCTTGACTTGCCTTAAATTGTAACAGACAGGAGTTTATTTTTTGCAATCAGCTGCAAACACTAGATAGGAACAATTAAAATACAAGGGGAGCTTAGCACATCCAGTGTGAGGCCCGTTAATTATTTAAATGTCACCCTTGACTGCCCGCATACGGCAGAGTAATTAATGAATGAACTTCCTTCTGTGACCTGCTTTTAACTATATTGCTCTATCATTTTACTTGTGCTTCACACAAGGAGCCCAAGCTTGAGGGTGGGTGGGGGAGGAATGAATTGGGGGAGGAAAGGGAAATTGGACAAAAAGATTGGTGTTAAAATAGACCAGATGCTATACTGGTCTATATGTCTTTGACATACTGGTTGACATAAGAACCTATTCTCACATACGACTCTGACATTGTCCTGGAGAAGCCTGAAATTCCAGCCTGTTGTTGCCTACAGAGCAATTTCAACTTATAATTTAAGATTATGCACCACTGTGGAAAATTCTTAAACTCAGTCTGAATTTGGAAGCAGAAAAAACAGCTTCTAACATAAGGCTGAATTTAAGAATTGTCCAAAATTCTGCTCCATCTTAAATTTTAAGACAAAATGAGTCTTGAAGACTCAGACTAGGTGGAAATTGGATCTCCAGTCTCCTAGTTAGGAAGCAGAGATTCGGCAAAGGCTTAGTTAGTGACTAAGGGAGCCTGCATCACTTATCTTTTATCAGCTTCACTTGTGGCCTAACAACTGGAACAGGTTACGAGGCCATCACTGGCCAGAACACTGGACCCATTTAGAAAACAGCTTAATGATGTGATGGGAGAATGGGAGGATGAGTATTCTGGAAAGATGAGACCAAATGGGCCAAAGGGCCTTCTTCATCCAAACTGATCTTAGCTCATCTAAAAGATACATGGGTACTAGCTTGTTTGAGTCACTTAACATTAGATTTGTTCTTTCTCAGGATGTGGGAGATGCTAGTAGGGCCTTCATTTACTGTTTATTCCTAGTTTTGCTGAGAAGGCAGTGTCTACTTAAACTTTAAAAGGTTTGTTGCAACCATTTGCAAGCCAGGCTCTGACATTTATGTAGGCTGCTGGCCTGGATGCTTTATGTTCTTATTTCATCTCCGTCTTCTCCCCAAACAAAAAACTCCTTCAAAAAGTCCATAAGTTATATTATATTATAAAAATAATATATTAAAAATTATATTCTCACTTTCAAAAATCACTTCCCCCCCCCGAGGGCTTGAGCCAGCGATATTGGAGGAGGCACAGTGTCAAAACTACACTGAGTCCTCACCAACTACTCCATCAGCTACATAATGTGACAACCAGTAAGTAGAAACTCCTCCTGGGTCTAGATTTACTCTTTTAATCTATCAATTAAGAGCATCCAGAATTTTTCCATTTTGCCAAATATCTGTACTCTGAAAAGCTACCCTGACAGAGTAAATTTGAACCTTGGTGGAATCTCTGCTCAAAGGAGAGGGGTTGGGTGGGGGGTGGGAGATGGAGGGGTGGTGGGAGTCGTGGTGGCTAGACTCTGCTTGTCAGCAATTTATACCGTAATTTTAAATTCACAGGGACGAGAGTTTGTGGCAATGGAGTAACAAATACGTTGTTAACAAAGATTTCCCAATTTCCAAGTACCTACCAATGCCACTACACACATACTCTCAGCCACTTATCTCGACTGCACAACTCCCTTGCACCACTGCTGTGAAGAGGTTACAGCCATTACCTGTCATTATACTGCAAAACTTCAGCTCTAACTGAGGGCTTCAATACTCCCTCGTGGATCAGCCTTCTTAGTTGCAGAGATTTGGTGAAATTCCGCCTTAATGGCCTTTAATAAACCGTTAACACGAGTTTGTTATTATCAAGTTGCCTTTTATTCTGGAAACAATTTTTTTGCCAGTTTTTCAGGGGCAGGAATTTCACCCGTAGCGCTAAGCAATTTGTCAGCGAGAATGCCTCTGTTAACACACGGCCTACATTTTTTTTATGAAGACTGAGGAACTTTGAGCACTAAGGAACGATATGCAAAAGCTCTCTATTGCAATATGAAGCAATGGCATCAATCAATTCATTCACAGGTAAGTTGTGTTTTTCAAGAGTCGTGTTGTAATGAAGTGAACCACAGGGATCTTTACTCACATCGAGAAAGCTGACATCAATATGCAAGTCGATATCCACATCGTCAATTGCGCCATACTCCCTGAAAAAGAAATTGTGCTGTGATGAATTCTAAAGGAATATTTCAGGAAGTGATGTGTTCGGCAAGGAAGAAGCATTTTGGAACCATGAGCCTTCTAAACATTTTGAGTCACTTTTTTTTAAAAAAGAGAATCAAACTTTTGCACACATAGCATGGTTCCTCCCTCCCTCCCTTTTCTTTTCCTTCTCTCTACTTTGACACTTAAGTCAGGCATGTTGTTTGTGTTAAGAATCGAGTGCTGAAGTATACTGAATAAACTGAAAAAGTCAATTTCATAACCTTAAAAAGAAATGGCTTGACATGTTCTTGCAGGCTGATGTTGCAATGTTTTTCTACAATACTTAATCTGCCAATTTAAAAATATCTGGAGTCTCAAACAAGGTATTGGAAGTCATTGCATCATACTGATGATTGCTTAATCCCCAGAAACACAGGGGAGTCAATAGCATCCACAGCGTCAGTTATAAATAGCAGCTCAGACCAAACAGTGAATGGGATTAAAACAGGTGAGTGAGTTGCTGCTGGTTCATGGATGTCAGTTCCAAGCTTGCATTAGAAATTCAGGGCAGATATAGACTAAATGTAAAATGGCCCTGCATTTGCCACTGGGCAAGAATGATGATCGGTTTAGCCTAGAATTCTGAAAACTTATTTCCCTTTAAATCACCATATATTTGTCAGAATTATTACCCTCCTTCAATATTCTCCCACCTTCTCCTGAGTATGAGGACTTAACTTCAGGGCATAGTTTCATTGACATCAGAAACCTGGTAAGTGACCGTTCTTCATGTGTGAGCTCAAATAGGACACAGGAACTTCTGCACCCAAGGGGCCATTCTGCACCCAAGGGGCCATCATATCTGTGCCACAGAACATGGATATTGATAAAAAAAACAAATTTACTGCTGGAGGGGCATCAAAGCCGAGCCCAATGTAGTCTTTACCTGGCCATTTCTACACAAAGTGAAATATATCAAATAATAATAAATAATAATAATCCTTGCATTTGATATAGCGCTTTTCACATCTTCTGGACTTTGCAAAGCACTTCACAGAATATACTGTAAAGTGAATTGACTGTATATTTGTAGGCAAAACACAGTAGCCAATTGCACACAGCAGTGTACCACAATCAGTTGTGGATTGAAGTGACCAATTTTTTTTCTTCTTCTTCTTGAGGGATTATTATCAGGAGCGTGGAATAAGGAAACTTGCCCAGGGTTTCACCTTGCCAGGAATCAAACCCAGGTCTCATGCTTGCGAGGCGAGTGCTCTCACCACTGAGCTATAAGACTCCTATGATGCAAGGAATAAAATACAATACATATTCTTATATCATTCAGATTATTCTTATTCAACACTGATAGCTTTTCAATAACATATTTTCTTCCAGCACCCTTCAGTCTCTCGTCTAAAGATTCTTTGATATTTGCCTCTTTCGGTCTCCAATTCACTTTAAATGGTCCAGTATTACTCAGGGATTACTATTTGGGGTTTGGATGCTCAGAATTCACCAAGACGAGACCAAAGGATCTAGCTAATAACCAGAACCTCATCAGCTCCATCACTATACTACAGAGAAAAACCTCAATTCTCCTTCACATTCCCACCGAAGACCAGAACAATCCTCCATGCCAGGCATCAGGGACAGACCTGTTCTATCCCTTCTCTAGCACTAGCCACACAGTTTGGAATTCTCAGCCTGGTTTGGATATTCTACTCTAAAGCCTGGTGATGATGGGCTTCCGTATATGTCAGACACTCGGCTAACCTAAAAAAATAGCATCTGCCCCCACAACACCACCAAGAATCTAGTACACATCCTTCTTCTAAAAATTGAATCTTTTTAAAGAAAAACAATTCCCTCTCCTCCCCCACCTCCACTGATAGCAAATGGGGAAATGTCGCCTTTTATACTGTGTCTCCTGCTGCAACCCACCAGCTAAGAGGATGACAGTACATCGCAAATAAGTCTTTATGGCTTCAGCCTTACAAGCAGCAAGCACTTGTTTCAACATCTGACGATGTAGCAGCAGCAAACTTCAATTAAAAAACCTTGTTTCACATTTATTATTTCTGTCTGCTTCAAGTGCCACAAGCCTTAAAATCTCACCCTTGTTCCCTGACTCACTGTTGCAACAACAGTTTGGTTTTACCTGAGAATTATTACTTTCAAGATGGCGGAAGAAATACAGCCTATGGAAGTCATTAAGAAGCATTACATTTGTCTCTGAGTCCTCGTAATAGGTAATAGTTTTCTTCTAGTCAGATTAGTTCATTTTGTTAATTAAATTATTTTAAATATGATGGACTTGTGATGCAACTATAATGTTCAGAGAGGGCTTGTGAAATACACAATTGATTTGTTCCATTTACAAGGCAGCCCTTAATAAGTCACTTGTGTCTTTGTCACTAAGGATTAACAGATCTTCACAACTCTCAGAATGAATTGCGCTGTTCTCCATTGAATACCCTCCGTGGAATTAACTAACTGAGTTAGACAAGTGATCTTTATAGATCTCTCCAATTATGCTTTGCATCTTGTGTGTTCTATGACCAGACATTTTTCAATCTATTGCATTGAACACATGTAGAAATCAGTTTACTGTTTAGTGGCTGCTTTATACCATGCTACGTTTTAACAAACTCAGCATATAAATATTAATGTGGTGATAGAGCTTGCTTTAGGTGTCACACAAATGCTGTTGCCAGTGTTAAGAGTAATTAGGTATGCACACCCACACACAGCTGCTTAGGTAGAAATACAGCAATATATCTTCACACTTCACGACAAAATAACTCCTCGTTTCATTTCCCGGATCAGGATCAGCACAGCATGAAGACTCTTTAATTTCCTCCTCCAGGTTTCTCTCCCATCTTTCCTGGAGGTGTTGACTTCTCGTGTGCATTCCCATGGTGTGGAGAGCACCTCACCCAAGCAGCCACTTGTTATCTGCCAGCAGTTGTGAAAATGATGAATGCTTTGCCCCTGAAGGCAATCAATTGGGAAGTTTAAACAGGAGATAAATGGATAACTTTGGAAGTAAGACTACTAGGGGGTATGGGGAAAAGACACAGAAATGGGATTAAAAGTTCTGCCTTGATCTGATGAAATAATACCAGGGGGCAACTCCTTCTCTTTTCAGATCGTGCCATGGGATCTTCAACACGCTCCTGGGCAGGTGGGACCTTAGTTTAATGTTTCATCCATAGGATGACATTTCCAGCAATGCAACATCCCCGCAGCACTGCACTGGAGTGTCATCTAAGACTATGTGATTCCAAGTCCTGACATGTGTCTTGAACCCACAATCTTCTGACTCAGAAGCAAGAATGCTACCACTGAACCAGGTTGACACACAATATGACAATCACTCCCAATCTTGTTCTCACCCAGTGTCCATAGATGTGTAATTTTAAGCTGGGCCAAAATGATTATGATCAAGAGCAGGACCCCTCCTGATATTTCTCTCTCTACTCCAGGGATTTTAGCTGCTTTGCACTAAGTTGATTCCTACCTAAGGTCAAATAATTCGATCCTGATCCTGGAATTGAGTCTGAGATCTTTTACTGTGTCTAGGTTAGTTTCATACAGTGACTTTGTCAACTGAGCCATCTGGGATCACCATCGAGCCTTCAAATTAATGACACTTAATGACACTTCAATGGGGAAAGGGATGGTAAATGGGATTGTAAAGATTGCTGTTTAAAAGGGCTTCTGTGCTGTAAATTTCTATGGTTCTAAACATGAACCCATCAAAACAAAATAATTTACCACAAAGATGTATTTTGTGTAAAATATGTCATATATTGATTAAACACTATTTATATAAAATCCTCCAATGGCCTAAGGATGAAGGTTCAAATTCCAGTCAATACCTTGTTAACTGATCTCAGGGCATCACAGTTGTTTTTAAAGGCGTTTGGGTTAGTGGATGGAAAATCAATTAAGAGTACAACACCTGATCGCTACCTAGTACATGGGCATCAGGTGAGAAGAAAATTGGGCTTGGCTGTGATGTTCAAATAGCATACTGACATTCATCGTCAAGGTTCATGCATGAATAATGACCACCTGAATGTGCCCAGTACAGAAGGAAACAAATCAAACTGTCTCAGAAGAGATGAGAGGAGGAGAAAAATTGGAGAGGAAAAAAAGAAGAGAATTTCTCCTGATGTCCTGGCCAACAATCTCCCAAATAAAATTGGCTATCAGTTTCTTGGCTGTATGCAAATTGGCTGCTGTGTTTGAGTATACATACACAGTTACTCCACTTCACAGTAAATCCTGTGAAGCGCTTTTGGATGTCCTCCAGACGTGAAAGGTACTATATCAAATACAAAGGTTAGTATTATTATTATATATGTATAGAAGTAGAAATGCAAAGAGCGTTAATTGTTATAGAGACTTCGAAATACTTACAATAAATTAAACCCAGCTCGGGTCCGTAACTCTGTCTGTCCAGAGCCTTGGGACATCCTCCCGACGTGAAAGGCGCTTTATAAATGTAATTTTGTCGTTGTTGTTGTAAACAGCTCTGCATATGTAATTGTTGTCTATGGCCTTGATACATTAAAACAACGACGACAACTTACATTTACATAGTGCCCTTCACGTGGGGTAGCATCCGGGAGTGCTTAAAACTGCAAGCTTTGAAGAGATAAACCAAAGATTGACTCCTAATTATCTCAAAAATTATCCATTTTACAAAATCATCTTTTGAGATACTTACTGAAGACACAGTTAAGTCACACGGGAGATTGTATTCTCCTCAGAACAGGAATTATTTTATGGTCAAAATACTTCCTCTTCCTCTAAATCTTATTCCTCCTTGCTTACCCAACACTTCCCATTCCTCTAAATCCTGCTCTTTCTTGATGACAGGTGACCTGAGGGTAAATGCTCTCCCGATTGTTTGGTCAAATGGACTGTAAGTGGGACACTGCTGTGCGCAATTGGCTAACGTCTTTCACCAACAACATACAGTTAATTCACTTCA